TAACTATATAAGGTAGATTTTACTTTAGTTATTGAGTGGCTAGATTTACCCTTTTCATTCAACACTTTACAAGCTCTAGCTCTGATGCAGAGAGGGAGAAGGCTCAAAAGGTTAAAAGTTTATTCATTCCTACTATATGTCTCTAGTTTACATTTATTTTGTGTAATAAAATATTGTTGCTATATCTAGGTTGCATACTATCGCAATTATACTATTTTGTTGTAGCAATTATCTGAAATGTATTTTGAGCCCTAAGTAATTGTGTATGATGAGAATTATATGTTGATAGGGTCAAAATACTAGTGTAAATGTAGAAATAGTGTTTTGAACATGTTGTGAGTGATTTATGAGTAAATGCAATGAAATTTCCTCTCCTTTTCGTTTTTGGTGAAAAAGGGGTTGAGGAGTGATTTTGTGCTATGTTGTTGATTGAGTGTGAATAATGTGATATACCGATAGTCTTAAGTTCAATAGACATGGTCCAGGTGTTAAGAAATGATTTTGGCACTTGTTTTGGATTTTTGGACACCCTTTATTGTGAAAGGTTGTGAAAAGCGATCAAAATGTGTTTGGGTGTCCAACTTTCTAATGTGATTTATTTTGAAAGTGAAACTCATGCCATCAACTAGTTTATGAAAAGAGCTTTTCGTAGACATCTAAATTATGTCATTCAGATGTCAGACGAAGAATTAGAACACATCGAAACTTCCCTGATTTGCCAATAAAAAATGATAGCAAAATCTGCTATCATTTGCATGCAATACACCACGGCGCATGGCACCTGAGCCGCAGTGCATGGCACCTGAGCCATTGTGCATGACACAAAAACCAACACGCAGCGGCGCAATGTACAGGAGCCGCGGTGCATTGCTTTGTCTCATAGCAAACATGTTGTTTTTCAACTAATTTTGATTTCTCTAACTTTTTCAGAATATCTCATGCTTCCGTAGCATTTTTTACTCTAATATATGAGTTATGATTGTTTTAAACTCATTTTAATTATGAAAACTTGAGATCCCTTAATTTTGAATTAAAACTTGGTAATTGCTTTTATAAGTTAATCTTTTAATTATCATGAATTTTATTGGTTAATTGTAGTTAGTAGAGTGAGATATTACATGAATCATCAAATTACTTTATATTTGTATAACAAAAAACTAAAACATTACCTCACTAACATGTGACTGGAGAGTGGTTTTTTTTTTTTATTAGTGTAACTATCATATATCGTAGTACGAGTTCAAAAAATAATTATGTTACACTATAACAACATGAAAATGCCATTTATATTAAGATGATCCAAAGTACACTATCATGAATCTCACACACAATTTTGACATAAGGCAGATCTAGAATTCTCTGGATAGATTATCATCTATAAATTATCTAGAAGTTAAATTAAAGTCTAATATTTAAAGTTATATTAAAATTAAAATACATTGATTATTTATATGGAGAGATAGAGTCATAGAGACATACACAGATCTGTAGATAGTTTATTCCACAAAAAGATGGGGGCATGTCTCTCTCATCACAATTTCCACTTACAATTTAAAAAAAAAATAAAATATGAATTTTGAATTAAAAATATTAAAATATAACCATTTAAAATTTTAAATTATGTAATTTTGAAATTTAAAAAATGAACTCATGACTTGAATTGTAATTTCTTAAGTAATTAACTGCTTCACTCTAGAATATTAAAAATGATTTTAAATTTTTAAATTTTTCAATATAAGTACTCCCTCTGTTAAAAAATAAAGCATTTTTTGAGGAGTTTAATGTTAAAAAATATAAGGTATTTTTAGTTTTTTGAGTTATAATCATTGCCTTTTATTCAAAAGTGCCACTATTGATAAAATTTTATATTTATTATAAGGTGTTTAATAGGTGTAAATATAAAAAAATAGTATTAATTTTAAAGTAGGCAATACTTTATTGAAAAAAAAAATTAATTAAAAATACTTTATATTTTTAAAAAGAGAAAATATATAAATAACTTCAAACTAGAAATATCCCTAACTTCCAGCAAGACAAATATTCGCTTATCCTAGACGAAATGCAAACTCCAATATGTATAGTATCTGTGTATTTTAAAATTATTTTATTAAATAATAAATGAGGGGTGATGGATGATTCTATTTTATTTAACATGTCCAAATTTAACTATTTAAGTAAGGAGCCATTGGTCCACAAAAAAAAAAAAAGGTACTGTATCAGGAGCACTTTATTTTGTTGAAGGTAAGCATCTCATAAATGAAAAAGGGGCAAAATTACATGTTGTTAAGGAAAGAGTGGCCCGTTGGCCAAAAAGAAAGGAACGAGTGCCCTGTTCTTTCCACATCAGGAGCCCCTGAACTAGGGAAAAAAAAAAAAAAGGGAAATAAAAGTAAAGAAAAGAAAAAAAAATGGAATAAGGTATAATTTTTTCTCTAAATTATTATCAGAAAGGTAATGCTACTCCTAAACTATTTATTATAGCATTGTTATTTCTAAGCTAATTAAGTCAGAGTAATGTTATCCCTACTATTTAAACATCCATTACTATAACTAGTGAAACTTATTTTTCATGAGTTAAGATATAATTTTATTTTTAAATTATTTTTAAGAGAACAATGTTGCCCTTATCGTTTAAAAATTAAGTGAGATTCACTTTTTATTATCTCTTTTTACTTAACATTAAATCAAGTCAGGATTTCAACTAAACTATGATAGTTCAGTTGCTAAATTAATTTTTGGGTTACTACTTATGATGGTTTATGTATATACTTTTTTTATTTTTAATGCATATGAGAGAAGATATTTATTTATGATACTCAATCTTGTATGCTAATTCACTCAAGATGATAAGAAGCGACCTTTTTCCCCTGAAAATGTTATTTATATGCTTTTTGTTAGATCAAGAGCTCTTCTTCCAGTATTATCCATGTGAATTTGTACTTCAACTATTTTCATATTTGTCACTGAAGAAAGTTAGTATAAAAATTGAGTTTCTTCTAGATGTATAATTCATAAATTGTTGGAATGTTGGTGGAAAACATGACAGATAAATGTTTTTACATAAATATTGAATGTTAGAAAGAATGTGAATAGAATGGTACTAATATAAAAAGCACTTTTCATTATCTCTTTAATTAACAAACATTTAGGTGACATTGTTTAGATTTAATTAGTTTAAGGAGAACATTGTTCCGTTGAGAATAGTTTAAGGGTAAAAAATTACATCTTAACTTATAAAAAGTAAGCCCACAAACTACACTTAACAGATGTTTAAATGACGGAGACAACATTGTTCTAATTCAATTAGTTTAAAGGCAACATTACTACAATAAGTAGTTAAAGGCAACATTACTCCTTTAAGGATAATTTAAGGGTGAAATTGCATCTTAGTTCAAAAAATAACAACTCAGTTCACCTTGTAAGAGAGTAATATTAATTTAATCAAAAATGAGAGAGTAATACTAATTTAATCCGAAATCTAGAGTTTAAATCCAAGAAATGTAGTCACCATTGTGATAGAACTTTCATCTAAAATGGTCATGTCCTAACTCGGTCTAGATTAATCTGACTCTATTAAATCCTTTCCATCTTGATATGTGGTAGGTTTAAGATACCAACGCTATATATTGCTCTCTCTGTTAAAAAATATAAGACATTTTTTGAGAAGTCAGCTGTTAAGACATTTTTTGAGGAGTTGGATGTTCAAAAATATAAGACATTTTTAGTCTTTTGAGGTGTAATCATTTCTTTTTTTTAAAAGTGCCCCTATTAATAATGACTTTATATTTATTATAGGGTATTTGATATGGATTAATATAAAAAGATTTAAAAAGTAAGTAATTACTTTATTGATGTTGATATTTGATTAGAAATACCTTGTATTTTTTAACAGAGGGAGTCAAAGAAAAAAATACAAAGAAAGAAGGAAAAAAGGTGGAGACTAGAGCTAGAGGATGATATTATTAGTGATTGCTGGTTTCATTTCACATCCCCAACAAGTTTCTTTCCAGTTGCCAACTCAATGTATGTTTGGATAGCAAAAATAATAAATTTTTGGCCCAAAAAAACTAATTTACCATAAAATTATCCAAACACTCACTTTTTTGGTTAATTCATTCTTGAGCCAAAAATTGTTTATTTTTGAAAGCCGAGAATCGGTGCTTGGAAAAAGCTTGTCAAAAAATATTGGAGAAAATTATAAAGACTGGCCCAAAAAAAATTATAAAAAAGCACATAATTTAATAAAAATAAAATCAAACTTTCTTCTTTTTTCTTTTTTTTAATTAAATTAAAACTTTGTATCTTTAAAAAATTGATGTTTAGTATTTAAGAATTAAATTATATAATAATTTATATAGTTAAAAATTAATTCTAATTAAATTATCCAAACATCTTCAATTCTATTAAAATTAATTTTAAAAAAATAGTATTAAAATAGATTGCGTTATAACACATAATTCAATAAAAATAAAATCAAACTCTCTTCTTCTTTTTTTCCTTAATCAAATTAAAATTTTGTATCTTCAAAAAATTGATGTTTAGTATTTAAGAATTAAATTATATAGTAATTTATGTAGTTAAAAATTGATTCTAATTAAATTATCTAAATATATTCAATTCTATTGAAATTAATTTTAAAAAAATAATATTGAAATAGATTGCGTTATAACATAATCAATTATGATTAAAATCTATTACTTAATTAATTATTTTCATAATTTATTATACTCAATTGAAATCTAAATGGGCACTCAAACATATTAAATGCAAGTTCACATAATGCCAATGTATCACTTTAACTACATTTACTTTCAAACTTTAAACCCTTTCCAAATGATTTTGTCCTTATCTACTAAAGTAAAAAGGATTGCTAAAATTCCCTTTCAATTCAAGCATAGGACATGTTTAAAAGTGGAAATACCAAGAGAAAAGCACTTCAATTAAATTTTTCTAAGTTGTGGAGAAAAAGGGGTTGGGTTTGGTGGAATTGACTTTCAATGTAAAGAGGAGACCAAAGGAACAGATAAATTAATGACTAAAGTGAATGAACAAGTACAAGCAATAACATGTAAAAGATCACGTTCTGAGTGTATTCTCATCAAAGCTTTCATCTGCCAAAGATGGGTAGGTAAAAAGGAGAAGAGCTTATCAATCTCAAAAGAACACATCAACACAATCTCAGACTTGTTTTCTTTACATTTTCCACATGGGAAACTCCCATCCAGTGGTAAAATTAAACTAAGAACAAAAACAAACTCAATTCCTTCTCTTCTTTTCCTTCACTAAGTTAACTAGCAGAAGGCTCAATATCTTTAAGCAGTCCAACTACCTGCTGCATGCTAGGTCGCTTCAATGGAAGATCAGCTGTGCAAAGATAACCGATCTTGATGGCCTCCTCCATCTGTTCTTCTGACCCTGTGTCGCGAATTTTCTGATCAATTGCTCTTGAAGCTTCGTTCTTTCTCACCAATCCTCTCACCCAACTAACCAAAGTTCCTTCCTTTTCATCATGATAATCATCCCCAACAGGTTTCTTTCCAGTTATCAACTCAAACAGCACAACCCCAAAACAGTACACATCAGATTTCTGTGTTGGGGAGTTCTGTTCAGGTTGGGAAAACTCTGGTGGAACATAACCAGGTGAGCCACGTGCAATTTCGTCGTCCAAGCCATCTCCAAAAACCTTAGCTAGACCAAAATCAGACAGCCTTGGCTCTAGGTTGTAGTCTAGATAAACACTACTAGCCTTGACATCTCTGTGAACAATTGGAGGTGAGCAGCCATGGTGAAGAAAGGCCAGTGCTCGAGCAGTGCCAAGGGCAATCTTGTGACGAAATCTCCAAGATGTGAGTAATCCCTCAGAGCCAGCATTTTGAATCCCACCACCGTTGTCATCTTCCTCCCATGTGTCTGTGCTCCAATCTTCTGGACTATGCACCCCAAGTGGCAAGTCATGGAGCAAGTTTTGCAGGTTCCCATTCTCCATGTATTCATAAATAGCAATCCTCTGATCTCCAGCTAGACAATACCCAGTTAAAGGAACAAGATTGGGATGCTTGATCCGACCAAGATATTCGAGCTCCCTTGCAGCTTCTTGATCTGTCAATGTAGAGCCAACAACCAGAACCTTAACTGCTACATGAATCCCACCAGGTAGAAAGCCTCTATAAACAGGCCCAAACTTCCCTTCAGCCAGAAGGGTATCTCTGTCAAAGTTTGAAGTTGCAGACAATAGGTCTGCGAATGTGATGTTCAACAGTGGCTTCTCAAAAATTACTACCGGGACCAAAGTTGCTTGCTTGACATCAGCCACCCAGGTTGTTGAATCAGTCTGGAATTCAAAGGGCCCTGAGATGTTCTGTTCTTCTTTGTATGAAGCTTGCTTCACTGCCCACATTTTTCTTTTCCTCCTACAGCCAAATGCTAGAAATAAAAGCCCAGCAAGAAGACAGACCATTGCTAGAGTTAATCCAAGAGCCAGCTTCATTCCATTTCGATCAGTGTCTCTTTTTCTTAAAATTGGGGGGTTTACAGCAATTGGGCAGCTGTTAACCGATCCATAGAATGCCGTCTTGAGGATTTCAGGGGTAAATGTTGAATCACAGAAGGTGAAGTTATTGTATGAGAAGTTATATTTCACCATTCGTGGGAGATTGTCTAAGAGAGATTGAGGTATGTCACCACTCAAATTGTTCACAGAAAGATCAAGAATTTGGAGGTTTTTGTTGCTCAGTAAGGGGATTCTCCCTGTGAGATGATTCATAGAGATGTCCAGAGCATTCAAATGCTTCAGTTGTGAGATTTCATCAGGAATGTGACCAACAAGGCTAGTTCTAGACAAGTTCAAGTATTCCAGCACAGAGAGCTTTCTAATCCGTGGGAATTTCTGTCTGGTAAATCTATTGTGCGCAAGATTTAGGTATTTCAGATTTTGGGCTTCATTCAAATTATGGAAAATTTCACCACTAAACTGATTCTCGGACAAATCCAGATAAACTATGCAAGACCAGTTAAAGTCAGAATTGAATTGTACTTGAGAAATGTGACCCTGAAATTGGTTCTTACTAAGATCAATGACCTCCAAGCTTTCCTGAAATGCACCCATGGGCGAACCCTGAAACAAATTTCCAGACAAATTGAGAGCAACAATTGACTTCAACCCAGAAAAGTTAAAATCTCGACCATGAATGCTATTCCCTGCAAGGTTCAACATTTGAAGCTTTGGGAAGGAAGCACCAAAACCCTCTGGAAGTGTCCCATTTAGACGATTTGATGAAAGATCAATTGAGACAAGAGACAGACACTTTAAAATCCCCCAAGGAATGGTTTGTTCGAACCTGTTCCGGCTAAGGTTGAGGAAGCGAAGACTGACAAGGGAGCCTATAGTTTCAGGAATTTCTTCAGAGAGATTGTTGTTAGATAAGTCTAAGGTTGCCAAGGAACCAAAATTGCCAATGTTGTTTGACAGTGAACCAGAAATCTGGTTGAAAGAAAGGTTAAGACTCTTGAGAGAGGTTAAACTCCAGAAATCTGAAGGCAACCCTGTGATTTTGTTGCTGCTAAGATCCAAAGATTGAAGCTTGTTGAGCTTGCCAATGGTATTATCAGGAAAAGGACCAGAGAGGCCTAACCCAGAAGCTTTGAACTCAACGATATGTTCTTTTTGAGCATCACAGAGAACACCATGCCATGAACAGAAAGAACCAGAGAAGTTGTAGGATTTGGAAAAAGTTGAAGATGAACCTGTCTTGGTCAAGAATTCAGACACAAAGAATCCATCGGTATTTGGCTGCTGGCATGCAAGGTGCTTCAAGAAAAGCGTCAGAATCAAAACAGAACCAAATAATCCCAAACCCATTTAGGAAAAATGACTCAGTATAAACCACAAAGAAAAGCCTTTCTCAAAACTTCAAAATCAGCGTGACCATGGAAGAAGCCTTTGCTTTTTCTGCAGCATGGACTCCATAAGTGAACCCAACAGCAGTAAATTCTGAGTTTTAACAGAAGAAGATTAAAAAAGAAAATCAACACTAGAGAAGAATAGTAAAAGCTAGAAACTGGGGAAAAAAAGTTAGTGGTCTTTAACGAGAGAATGTGAGCGAACTTTTGTCTAGATTTGGTTGCAGATCGTGAAAGGCGACGAAAAGGAATTAACAGAAGAAACAAAAAGTTCTGGAACAAGAAGTACTGTCTCGTTGTGGACAAATAAAAGCTGTGAAGCGTTGCTTGTGAAGCTGAGTTGCAAGTTCCCAGGTAGAGCTGGTGCTTCAGCCCTCAAATGAAGAAGAGACAAGGCAACATTTTCAGGGAGACGAGTTCAATTGGAGTGGAGTTGAGGAGTGGCTTTGAGGCTCATAAATGAAAATGAAAGAGTCGAATTGATTTAGTATAAAAATTGAAATATCGTTGAGGAGGTGAATTTATGAAAGCTTTCTGGTGAGGATTTAATGAGTTCTTCAGTGTGCCGATCATCATTGGTCACCCAAGGAGGGCCCCAAAATAACAAGGTTGCCTTAATCGAATTACTCTTTAAAATTAATTTATATTTATTTATAAAGTAACTCAATTAAAAATTTTTATTAATAATATGTTAAAAGATTCAAAATATCCTATATTATTTAACATCATATTGTATTTATCAAAATATATCTTATATTTTTTATAAAAAAATATTTTATTTTCTCTTAATCATAATATAGAACTTTTTAAAAAAAATTTATTTAATTTAAAATATATGACATTTAGTGCACTTTATATTTTTTTAATTATACCTTTACTTTATCATATTTCATTTAAATAATTAATGAGTGTATTTTGAATAAGTCAAAATTATATTTATTTTACTTAAGGATATGATTAAATGGAAGTGAATTTTTTTAAAATTAAAATTTTAATATTGTTTAGAAACGTAAGTTAATTAACAATAAATGTGAAAAGAGCTTATTTTAAATTGAATAAATTATAAAATATGAAAATTAATAGTAAAAGGGAGCTTTATTGAAGTAGGAAAGAAAAATTACCCAAAAGAAACTCCTTTTTAGCCAAAATCAAAACAACTAACTACCTGGAACTTAAACTAATTAATGCATCAGATTTTCACATAAACTTGAGAAATCACTATAATAATTAATTAGTTAATGAATGAAAATTAATGCAAAGTTCAACCGCCAGGTGTTTTGCCTTTCACAAGTGGATGACATGCTTCTTCTGTTAAAGTTTTCTTGGTGGGTTGGTTCATGTTCTATCTTCCTCTGTTCTTTTCTTCTTCTTTTAAACCAAACCTTCATAAAGGAAACAAAGCAGTTTTGGACTAAGTGACAAAAAATTCCAAGTTAGGGTATTAGATCATAATTTTATGACCACTAACAAATCAACTTTCCACCACCAAACTTAAAAATCATGTCTTTCCTTTTTCCTTCCATGCCAATAGAAGACAAAAAAAGTGCATTTTGGGAGGTACAAAAAAGGAGAGTGATTGGATTAATTTGGATCTAAAACATGAAATATTGGAGTTTATGAGAAAAAATAGAGAGGATTAAAATATTTATAATATGTAAATCCCATATGCAATAATAATTACACACTCTCTCTTGTTTAGACTCGCTTGTTTTTAGTTTGATTTGATTTGGAACAAACTGAACCACATCCATAAAAGTGAAACTTAATTATATATATATATATATATATTATTTTTGAAATGAAAGATGGAAAAACATTAAAGTGGGGATCATCTCTCTTGATTTGTTGATGGTGATTTAATGGGGTATTGGTATTAAACTATATTTTGTTGACTCAAATAATAAAAAGAAACAAATTAGAAAAAAGTTAAGCCTGTCCCCTATTTTCTTAATTTTCTCTAAAATGGGGACCACTTCTTCAAAAGCAGGGCCCGAGGGATAATGAGTTAATAACATCTACCAACAATCTAACAATGTGTGGGTCCTACCAAGCGGTCCATTCCTTTTCCTTCGTTTGACAAAACAAATTAAAACAAAATTATATAGTTGTGACCAGAGTGGGATGAGAAATAGCAGGAAGATCTAACTCAAAAGCTTAATCAGCTAGCCGGAATAATTTCAAAAAATTTTAAGATTAAATTTAAGAATTTAAAATAATTTTTTACTTTGAACTTATTTAAGATCAACCGAATAATTTGAATAAATTTGAATAATCCAAATGGATTTAGTTGGAATACTTAAATTCTTTATTTATTAGTAATAAAATAAGATAAAAATTAAAAATATTAATTTTTTAAAATTAAAATTAGATAAAAATAAAAATAAAATAATATTTAATAATTTGAGTATTTATGTAGGTCTGAATAAACCTGAATACCCGAAGTATAAGGATCAAACTTGGCTATATTGATTTTTTTTATATGTTCAAGTATTTTGAGCTTGATCTGAATAAGTCTAATCCAAATTGAATCCGACCTAAATAAGTTTAACCTACTCAAATTACTTACTCTAATTTAATGTTTAAACTCTTATAATTAAATAATACATATTGGTTCCATATTTCATGAAAACCCAACATAGGTAATGTATTTTGTGCCAAGTCTAGCAAACTATAATAGCTTATGAACATTAAATATTATAACTCAATAACTTGCTACTCCGTTTCTATTTGTAAGAAAAACTGTCACTTTTTATCTTTTTTTATATAAGTAAAATCACATATTTCAATAAATATTTATTATATATTTTTTAAATCGCCCCTCATGATTTACATTAATGAGAAATAATTAATGCATACTTATATTGAGTAACATAGGGCATTTTAGTCAAATTTTTTTATTTTTAAATATAATTATTATAATTAATTAATTTTTTTAAATTATGTGATACAGTTTTTTTTATGTATAAAAATGGACGGAGTATGATATATCATGTTATATCTATATATGATTTATAAAAAGTAATATTATTTGTAAATTATAAATTAAAAAAACCTTATTGGTCACTTTTGAAGTATCAGAAGTATCATGTCACTCATACTTCATCCAATCAAAATATTCAAACCAAGTAAAAAAAAAAATTAGTCCTTTATCTTTTTAATACATATATTATCTTTCTTTATATAACTATTTTTATTTTTTCATATGACTATTTGATTTGAGTCACATTGGAACACTCCCAAACTCAATTATATTAACCCTTCTAGAGACATTTTTTTTTTTCATATAACTATTTCTATTTTAATGTTTATTGGATAGAATATTAATTACATAGTAGTGCCTTAAGACTATGTGATAGTTTTCAAGAGAATGTAATAATTTCTTCTACTAACGTAAACACTCGTCTCAAATTTCATACTATCTCCGTATTAAATTATAATATATTTTTAAATAAAATTTTATATAATAATAAACCTCATTAAATATACTTAACAACCTTATCTTTTCAAAATAAAAATATAAACCTTCTAAAATACTCATTATTTAATGCATTAAAAAGAGAAGGGATGAAAATTTATTATAGAGAGAGAAAGAGTAATATTAAAATTAGTACATTTAATAAAACCTTAATCTATCTAAAGTGTCTTATATTTTGGGGTGAAAAACTCCTTTAAAAGTGTTCTATAATTTGGAGGGAGGGAGTATAAAAATTCGGCCTGTAATCTTGTTATTAGAAGTTTCCTTTTTATATCATTTTAAAATTAAAGGTTAAGTAGTTTAACCTTGCTGAATCTATCTATAATTAGAAACACTAAACTATGAAATCTAACTTAACTATCAATGAAGTGACTATTGAAAATTTATTTGTGAGCTCACGCTAATTATTTTATGATTTGTTAATTAAAATGGGTAATTAGTGGTTCTTGAAATATATTATAACCCTCTTATATTATGTAATCATCTACTTGATGGGATAAACACTTTGATATATTAAGTTTGGTTAGCGACTAAAGTGTGGGTCATTAACCTTACTAGAGTCTGTAGTGAGTGAAGCTAATAAGAATTATTAAATATGTTAGGCTTTTTTTTTTTAACCCTAACTCAATAGCTTAGTGACTATAGTGGAATCAAATACACAAGTGTTTGTTTGATTTCTTATCATATATACTGCATCTATATATCTAATATGCCAATTACATCTTACAATGTTATCATATGTGAGCCACATTATTAATTAATAGCTGTGGAATTGTTTAGAAATTTCATACTGCATATAGTTCTACCTCGTAATTAACATAATAGAGAGGAAGTTTTTTTAAATTTCTGATAGTTATGGGGATTAACATTCATCCTTTAAGAGATTGATAAAAGTAAGAATATGCATACTAAATTTAGATAATTATTTATTATTACACTAATATTTGATTGGTAAACTGTTATTTAGATGAAGATAATGAATGCATTTGATAATTGATTATCATGTTTAACAATACACAAATATGTCTTTAGTAGTATTAAAAATTTGTTCTTAATTATTCAATTAAAGTGGATTGAAATTTTGCAAAATTTGAGATAATTAACAAAACATTAATAGTTTTGAATTTATAGTATATATGGTAAGCCTGCCTAGTTATTAATAGTTACTCCCTCCATTTAAAAATGTAAGACATTTTTAACTAAATCTCACTTCTAATAAAATAGTTATTTATCTTTAAACTAATATTATATTTTTATATTTATCCCTATTTAATAAAATATTTCATCCTAAAAAAATATAAAGTAATCTATTTAATAAGAGTACTTTTTTTTAAAAAGCTAATGATTACACATTAGAAGACTTAAAATGTTTTATATTTTTAAATATCCAACTCCTCAAAAAATACCTTATATTTTTTAACAGAAAGAGTACTTCATTTTCTTTTTTATTCTAATTTTTTTAACTAATGATTCTATTTTTTTTTTGCCAGCGATTATAAATTTGTTTTAAAACTTTATAATTGCACAAGTAAGAATAAAATTTATATATAACTAAAAGTTTTATTAAAATATAAACAGTATTATTTCATTTACTTCAAGTAACATGAAGTGAAAACTGAAAAGTTCAAAAGCGACAAAGATAGAAACGCATGACGAGAGTGGACAGTAAAAAGTTTTTGGCAAAAAAAAAAAATCAATAAAAAGAAAAGGAAGAGGGGCAAAAAAAAAAGTAAAGATATGATGTGCATTGATTGAGAGATGAGGGGTTGAGGAGTGACGTGAAATCAACCCACACACTTATTATATTTTATCATAAATAATCATAACAACTCTTTTGTATTTCTTTTTCTTTTTTTTAATAAAAAGATCATGCGTACATTAACAAAAGAAAAAAGAAAAAAAAAAGTTACCACGAAACGAAAGAGCTAATAAATGCACATTATTAGATAAAAAAAAAGTAAAAGACTAAGTCTGATTACCACTACATTTCTAGAAGCCAATGTCGTCAAAGTATTTC